CACTCCTCAGAAGGAAGGTTGGGCAATCCTACTTCTGTAGTGATACTGCCTCGGAAACCCAAGGAGGGGTCACTATGAGTCAGGGCCGACTCGATGGCAACACAACAACAACAACACAATCATCTGTTAGAAATTTAGGTGTATAATTTGTAATGATTATAACGATGCTGTTGTGACCATCATTGTGTTCCATGTTTTTACATGCACCTTAATTATTCCTTTTGAATCAAATTTTAGAGCTAGAATTGCTGGGTTATAGGAAATAGACCTTTTGAAAGTTTTGAATCTCTGTCAGTTTTGTGTTCTAGAAAGTTTGTATTAGTGTTTACCTTAACTGTGTCCCTCTTTTTTGTTTAATCATGAAGTCACTACTATTAGAAACAAACAGTAACTGCTTGGTATTTTCTTTGATGTTTGCTTTACCATTTTTAATCCTCTGTCCTGTGGAAGTTTCCTTTGACACTGATACTGTGATACTTGACTAAATGAGACTTGAAATTTCTTCTGGCTGTGAGTGGTAATAGCTGTAGGTGCAGAGGGCAGCAGACTTAAACTTTATGCTATAATAGAGTAAGATAAGATGTTCTTTAAGAATCTATCAAAAATAAAGTGAGGTGTAGTACCTTTTAGATAACTCTAAACAAACTCACTGCCATCAAGTTGATTCCGACTCATAGCGACCCCTTTGGGTTTCTGACGCTGTAAAACTTTATGGAAGTAGATTGCCCAGTCTTCCTTCTGCAGAGTGGCTGGTGCGTTTGAACCGCCAACCTTCTGGTTAGCAATCAAATGCCTTAGGCACTATGCCACCAGAGCTCCTTCTTTTAGGTGGCCTAGTACCTGAGGCATTTGACTGCTAACCAGAAGAGAAGGTTGGCAGTTCAAACCCACCAGCCACTCCACAGAAGGAAGATGAGGCAATCTACTTTTGTAAAGATTTACCACCTCAGAAACCCATTGGGGACTGCTATGAGTTGGAAATAACTCGTTTTTTTTTTTTTTTTTTTAATATAGACGGAAAAATTTAAAGTAGAGACATCTTGGTTCCAGAGAAGCCCAAAAGGAAAAGCTCTGAGTATTTGGGAATGTCATTTTATAGTACCCCTAAACTCAAAAAACCGAACACAATGCCATTGACTTGATTCTAACTCATAGTGACCTCCCCTGGGTTTCCAAGGCTATAAATCTTCACAGAAGTGGACTGCTTCATCTTTCTTGCGCAGAGCACCTGGTGGGTTCAAACCAAAAGGTTAGCCACCAACTTGCCTGATAGTGTGAATTACAAATGTGAAGTGTAAGAGGTTCTTAGAGTTACTGGACCCACGTGTGCAGTCTACTAAGATTTTCTTTTTTTCCATATTGTGCTTATTTTGTAACTTTGGTGATTTGAAAGTCCTTAAGTAGAACATTGGTTATGTATTTCATGTTTGTGTTTGATGCTTGCCTAATTTTGGCTTTTTTGTTTCTCTTTCAGAAATGACTGCTGTCCATGCAGGCAACATAAACTTTAAATGGGACCCCAAAAGTCTAGAGATCAGGACTCTGGCAGTTGAAAGACTCTTGGAGCCTCTTGTTACACAGGTGAGAATCTGTAAAAGCAAATACATGTTTTAGCATGGTTCCATAGCACTGGGAATGGGTAATAAACATGAGAGTGGGGTTATTTAGTTCAAAGCTATGTTCTAAGTGGTTGAGTTTAGGGTGCTAGAACTTAGATGATATTTTAGTCTGTGTTGGCTCCTTTAGTAATTAGATATTGATGCATGGATTCATGTAACCCTTTAGTTACAGATGCTGCTGCCATTATGCGGCCCTATGGGGCAGTCCTACTCTGGGTAGGCCTTCAGTCAATAACAGGGATTAGTGGTATGTAGGGCAATTTTCCAAATGTTGACAATTTGGAGATACCTCACTCTTTCTTTAGAAGGGAAACAAAAGAAAGATGGGGTATGGAATTAACATGCAATTAATTTTTTTTAAAATGTTTATTATGATTTGGTTGAAAGTTCACAGAGCAAATTCATTTTCCATACAACATTTCCTATCCATTTTGTTTCATGATAATGACTGCAATTCCCCACAGTGTAACAGCTCTGTACCCACTTCTCCCTGTAGTTACCTCTTTCCTGTGTCCTTCTTTCCTATGCATTCCTGGCCTCTGAGCTATCTTCTTGAGCGAGTACTGCCCTTCTGTTCTCTCATGATTCTAAGGAGTGTATCTATGTGATTTAAGTGTTCATCCTATATGACTGTCTATTGTTTGGCTGGAAGCTACTTCCAGACCTGAGGGGTAACTAGGGGACATAGTCTTGGGGGTCTTACCAGGTCCTAGTGGACCAGTAAACCTGGTCTTTTTTATAATTTATAGTTTTATTCCACATTCTTCTCCCACTCTATCCAGAATCTCCTGCAGTGATCCCTTTGCAAGTGGTTGATGGTGGTAGCAGGGAACCATCTAGTTCTCTTGGTCTCATGGTCACATAGGCAAAGCTTTGCATGGTCCACTAATTGTTTCCATTTGTCTTTGGTTTTCTTCATTCTTCTTTGCTCTGGGATAGGAGAAACTTATTGTTGCACTTAGATGGCCACTTGCAAGTTTTTAAGATCCCAGTAACTACTCACCAAAGTAGGATGTAGAACAATGTTTTTGTCTAGTACATTATGCCAATTGAGCTTGATATTCCTTGTGACCACAGTCCCAAGCTCACAGGTCTAAGAACTCACTCCATCAGGGTGGTTGACTATGAATAGGCATTTAATTTGAAGATGTCTGTTTTGTTATAAATACAAGTATCACGATGTGTGACATTTCATTAATGTTAGCAACTAGCTATATATTTTATAATGTTTTAAAACAGGTTACTAGTTGTTGTTGTTGTTGTTGTTGTTATGTGCCGTCGAGTCAGCCCTGACTCATAGCGACCCCTCCTTGGGTTTCCGAGGCAGTATCACTACGGAAGTAGGATTGCCCAACCTTCCTTCCGAGGAGTGGCTGGTGGGTTTGAACCGCCAGCCTTCTGGTTAGCAGTCAAGTGACTTAACCACTATGCTACCAGAGCTCCCAGGTTACTAGTATATGTGGTTTTTTTTTTTTAAATTATTTAATTAAAAAAGATCCATTGTAACTCATAAATAAGAATAGTATTTTTAAATATATATGTAGGAGTGTGTTGCAAGACTTGGCAATATTTACTTTCTTTGCGCTCATCTACTGTAATCCTTGGTAGGTCTTTTGTTTGCCAAATTTACATTCTAACAAATCTTTATCTATCAACTTACAGATCATCTGGTTGTTCATCATTGACATATTAATGATGCTTAAGTTTTGGGACTTAAAGCACCATCGCAGTAGGCTTCTTTGTGCATTCATTGCTTTCTTGTGGGCCCTTACTAATTAGTTGTTGAAATTCATGTAAATAGACTGGAAAGACTTCAGAAGCCCGACTATTATTAACAACTGCTCTGCCCAGGGACACAATAGAAGATCCTGGTTAGAATGGGAGAGAATTGTAGACCAAAATTCAAATTCATAAAAAAGACCTGATTGGCTGAAGGGAACCCCTGCGACTACTGCCCTAAGCCATCTTTTTTAACCTGGACCTGTAGCCAGTCCTAGAGGTCATCTTTCAGCACATAATAGGTTGACCTACAAAATAAACAATAATACCTGCAAGGCATGTGCTTCTTAGAACAGTCAACTATATGAGCCCAAACTGGTAACATTTTGCCAAAAGCAAAAATGTGAAGGCAAGGAGGGGCAGGAAATTGGAGGAATGGAAATGGAGAGAGGGCTGACATTTCAGGGATAGCAACCAATGTCTTAGAAGAAATGGTGTATAAATTGTTGAATGGGGAAACTAATTTGCTGTGTAAATTTTCACCTAAAATGCAATAATGTTCCCCCCCCAAAAAAAGACTTCAGAAGCAAGTTATTTTAAAACATTTTTTAAAGATTGAAAATAGTAGTCAGATGTGACCTCCAGGTAAAGAAAGTTAACTTGTTTCTGGAACTTCTTGGGGACATATAGTAGAGAAGACGCATCTAACATGTCTTTAATTATTTTATGTTCTAATCATTTTTTCATTTGTAAAAGCAATCTAAAAATGAGCAAAACAAAAAGAAAATCACCCCTGCCATCGAGTTGATTCTGACTCATTGCGACCCCCATTGGGTTGACAAGGCTGTAAATCTTTCTTTTTTTTTAAATTGTGATTTGGGAGAAGATTTACAGAGCAAATTCACTTTCCATACAGCAGTTCACATATACTTGTCTCATGTCATTGACCACAGTTTACCACAATGCAACAGCTCCCCTCCCACATTCTCCCCATAGTTATCTCTTCCCAGTGTCCATCCCTCCATACATT